GAATTCTCTTTTTAGATTTGTAGTCCATATTTAATTAGATTTTTTTGGTATTTTGATATCTACTTTCTTGAGTTCTTTACATATTTTGGATATCAGCCCTCTGTCAGATATGGGGTTGGTACAATTTTGGCTTCTTTGTCGAAAATCATATGTTCATAGGTGTGTGGATCATTGTCAGGGTCTTCAATTCGATTCCATTGGTCCACATGTTGGTTTTTATGCCAGTACCAAGCTGTTTTTATTACTATAGCTCTATAGTAGAGCTTGAGGTCAGAGATCATGCTGCCTCCAGAGGTTGCTTTATTATACAGGATTCTTTTAGCTATCCTAGTTATTTTTCCATATAAAGTTAAGTATTATTCTTTCCCAGTCTATGAAGAATTGTGTTGGGATTTTGATGTAGATTGCACTGAATTGTAGATTGTTTTGGTAAGATTGCCATGTTTACTATGTTGATTCTACCTATCCATGAGCACAGGAGATCTTTACATTTTCTGATATCTTCTTCAATTTCTTTTTTCAGAGACTTAAAGTTTTTATCATACAGGTCTTTCCCTTGCTTAGATTTACCCCAAGATATTTTATATTATTTGTGGCAATTTTAAAGTGATGTGTCTCTGATTTCTTTTTCAGCCCATTTATCATTTGTATATAAGAGAAATACTGATTTTTTAATTAATATTGTATCTTGCCACAGTACTGAAGGTAATTCTTTCCTGGTAGAGTTTTGGAGGTCACTTATGCATACTATCATATCATCTTCTAATAGCAAAAGTTTGACTTCTTCCTTTGCCATTTGTATACCTTTGATCTCCTTTTGTTGTCTTATTGCTCTAGCTAGAACTTCAAGTACTATATTGAATAGATATGTGGAGAGTGGAAGCCTTGTCTTGTTTCTGATTTTAGTGGAATTGCTTTGAGTTTCTCTCCATTGAATTTGATGTTGTCTGTCAGCTTGCTGTAAATTGCTTTTATTATATTTAGGTATGTTCCTTGTACTCTTGATCTCTCCAAGACTGTTGCTAGAAGGTTTCTCAGGTCCCTCCTGGCCCCATTGTCCCTCAGCCACTTATAAAATAGTCATTCAGAAGTACAATATTAATTACCAATTGCATGGCCTATGTAAGACTTATTGATAGTTATTATAACTTAATCCATTTCTATTAATCTATAAGTCACCACATGACATTGGCATTGCCAGTCTGCTGGCATCTTTCTATTCCTTGGGTGGCAGCTAGTATCTCCCTCTCATCTTCTTTATTTTCAGCATATATCTGCTTGGATTTCCTGACTGCCTGTAAGTTGCCCTGCCATAGGCAAATGCAGCACTACTTATCAACCAATAGGAGTAACACATATTCATAGGACACAGAAAGACATCCCACAAGACAAGACCTTTATCATAAAGGGGTGTCGGATTTTGTTGAAGGCTTTTTCAGTATCTAATTTGATGAACAATTTGTTTATATGATGAAATACAGTGACAGAACTTTAGACCAACAGCTGTAGTACCTGCATGGGACAGGACTAGACCCCATCCATAAGCGAGACAGTTGTACAGCTTGGTCTGTTTAAGGAGGCCCTGACAGTAGGATCGGAATCCATTATAGTGCATGTGCTGGCTTTTTGGAGCCCATTACCTATTTTGGGATACTGTGCACAGCCTTGATGCAGGGGGAAGGGCTTGGTCCTACCTCAACTGAATATACCAGGATATTCTGATTATCCATAGGATCCTTTACCATTTCATAGGAGGGACTGGGGTGTGTGTTGGGGAATAAGAATAGGGGGGGCACTGGAAGATTGATGAGATGGGGATCTGTGGTTGGTATGTAAAATGAATAAAAAATTTGTTAAAGAAAAAAAGTTAACATACACAATAATTTTATTTCATTATAGCTTGCGCTCTCTCTCTCTCTCTCTCTCTCTCTCTCTCTCTCTCTCTCTCTCTCTCTCTCTTTTCTTCTTTTTTGGAAAGATAAAGTAGTATTCTACAGTTCAGGCTGCCCTGAGACTCCAAATGTAGCTCGGGTTGGTTTTAGACTCAGGGCATTCCAATTGCTTTAGTGTCCTGAGTCCTGCAATTATAAGTATGAGTCTACTTCTAGCACATTAGCACATTTTGTATGCATAGACATACTTTATTCTTATTGTACTCCTGAAAATTATAATTCATGTAATGTTCATCTTTGAAAATGTTTACTCCCTGCAGAAACATTAATTACTTCTTATGTAATATCTATAAGTAAGAATGTTCCATAGCACATTTAGTAGGATGAGTAAAAGTTGGATCTGAGACAGTTGTGGTACAATGAAAAGAACAATAATCATGAGTAAAATGGAAAATAATTCTTCATCTTATAGGGAATAATGAAGCTGCACTGTTTGTATATATTTAGACAGTATCTGTAAGGTGATTGTTTAATCATTTGTTGGATGTGAAAATCAATGAAATTCCAGATTAATCAGAGATAAATTAGTTTGGGTATTTGAATTGTATATTTATAAAAATGAAAACATTTTTATTGAAAAATAAGTGTTTCTTTATGGTACTGGGGATTGAGCTTTCCCCACCAAAATGAACAAGGCCAGATTTAAATGTGGAGAGGGCTTTGGACCCAAGCGTGAGGAAGAGAAAGGATTCACATTGAAGAGTGAGGAAGTGTGGGGTTTTCCATCCACATTCTGTTTCTCGGACACTATGGACAAAGAGTTGAGATTTTTCCAGGTACATAGTACAGAGGAAAAGAACACATGGTAATGATTACAAAAACATCGGTTGTCTTTGAGATGGCTAGGGAAGACTTCAACTGTTTGAGAGAAACGATGTAAAAAAAAAAAAACTGTATCCAGAATAGATTGTAGCAAGCAGTAACTGCTGGAAGGTAATGAAAACTGACTGAAGCACAGTACCTATAGCCACAAATGGTCAAGAGTAGAGCTAAATTAGTGTAGAAAACAAAATCTGTTCTCTCTCTTTCTCTCCAGGAAGATATTATGGGAAAGACTTTATTAAATATTCTTCCTGAGGAGGAAAAAGAAGAAATATCTCAGAAGGTCGTTCTTAATCTTCCTTTGGCACAGTCAGGTATGTTCATATGGTTTTATTTTGTTTTAATTTAATTTTGAAGTTTTGAGTGACAAGTAACACCCAGTTGAATAAATTCTTGCTCTCTTAAAACTTAATAATTTTTGAAAAAAATATTAGTCAGTGTAGCTGCTGATCATATATTCGTTTAAGTTTATAGCTTATAGATTCAAACACCTCCTTTCTAACATTTAAAAAAATTCTCTTCTGTGGGGGAGTGGGGAGGAGCTCATGTGCCCTCACCCTCAGATGAGGAGCTAGGAACAGTTGATGTATACTGGGAGAGGTAAGTGGGTTTTCTTCAAGGATATGGCCCCTGGCAGGCTGATCATGATCTAGTAGAGCGGTTCTCAATCTTCCTAATTCGGTGACCCTTTAATATATTTGCTCATGTCATGGTGACCCCAACTATAAAATTATTTTCATTGCTACTTTATAACTCTAATTTTGCTACTGTTATGAATTGTATTATAAATGTCTGTGTTTTCTAATGGTCTCATATGACCCCTGTGAAAAGGTCATTTGTCCCCCAAAGGAGTTGCAGCCCACATGTTAAGGACCACTTCTCTAATGAATGTTTGCTTTCAGAAGTGTATGAGCAGCACAAATTGAAATTGTATGGTTTTTTGGCACAAAGTTAGGAAGGAATTACTGGGAATGAGGAGCTGGTGGGAGTGGGGCATGAACATGATCAAATTATACCACATGCATATATGAAATTCTCAAAGAACTAATAAAAATTCTTTATTGAAAAGTCATCCCCAGCCCTGTTTTTTGTTTACTCTAAACCCTTATTACAGCAGTATTTTTCTAATTGTAGTAGTGTTATGTAAATTTCAGTGTATTATATTCTGGGTGGTACCCTATTCTACAGTTGATAGCCCTATGAGTACAGCATTCATTGAAAGAAAATTGTGTTCTTTAAAATGTTGTCTTGAGCCCGGTGTGGTGTAGCACATCTTTAATCCCAGTACTTAGGAGGCAGAAGCACTCGGATCTCTGTGAGTTCAAGGGCAGCCTGGTCTACAGAGAGAATTTGAGGATAGCCAGGGCTAGATGGAGAAATTCTCCCCCCCCCAAAAAAAAAGTGTTGTTTTGACTAAAGAAGACTTTCATTGACTGAAATAATCCCTCTGACTATACAACATAATTTGTATTGTTCTCTCTTTAGTTGGCAATCTTATTGAATTTTGCTGCTATATAAGAAAAGGAAATCCCAGCCAGGCTGCGCTGGATACACATGATTACACGAACATGTACGAAGGCAGGGACACATATGAGTATGTAAAATTCATCTTGTACCTGCAGGATTCCTATGACGGTAAGCAACCCAGCTCCAGCCCATGATTTTTAAATGATGTACAGGAGTGGTGTATTCCTAATTGGTAGCATACATGTTTTTGTATTATTGGTATTTACAAAATCTTTGATACCCCTACACTAACAATTTCTGGCTACGCCTATTAGGCATTAAAAATAATAGTAAAATTTATAAGTTGGAGTCATAGAGAAATATGGTGGATTAGATTGATAAAAAAAATGGCTGTCTCATCTTACAAAACAAAATAAAATATAAAACCAATCCCTAAAGTTTAATGCACTGCCAAGCTTAAAGGGAACTCCATGAATACCCAAACTTACAAATGGATTTTATAGTTTATAAATCATACCAGAGATTGGATTACCTGGGGTCTAAACTTATAACATCCTATCAAAGACAAATATATAAAATATAAACACTAAAGTTCTGTACACTAATATAGGAAAAGAAGTTTGTGAATTATGTAATGTCTACTATGAGGCTTGGTGTATAATTTTTAAGATTTAAGGAAGTACAAGCTGATAAATAAACATACATAACTAAAATTAACTGCTTTGGAGCCATAAAACATTTAACATAATCAGAAGCAAGCTATACTTTGTGCTTTAGGTACCCAAGTACTTGTTAAGACTTTTCTCATGTTTCTTAGAAGTTACAGTTAAAATATCTTTAAAAAAAACTTGGATAGATGCATGTACATTTATACTTATACACACACACACACACACACACACACACACACACACACACACACACACACACACACACACCATGTTTTTTTAGAGACTACCACAGCAATACATAGGGCAACAGCAAAAGATTGACATCAGCACAAATTCACATTTGATTTTCTGTATGAGTGTCTCATATTTTGGTGGTGACCATCTTGGGAGCTGGTTTGAAAGGGAAGGAAGACCAGGAAAATCCCATGGCTCAGAATATTGAAAAATGACAACAGGATGGTAAATAGCAATGTGATGTGGCATTTGCCTGCATCCTTGCTTATCTTGTATATCTTTTCATTTAATTGCCATTGTGTCTGTCACCCTTAGAGTCATTTGTATTTTTTGGAAATTATGGTCCAAATAGCAGAAACATTTGGTCATCAACTCCAAGGCTGTTATGGGAGCAACAGTACTATCTTGTGGGAACCATTTCAGTTCTTCGTACAAAGGATGAATCAGTGAGTATGGTGTCTGTGGTTCCCACTTTGAAGGGCATATCATTTTCACTTTCAGCCTCTGGACATCAGTGCACAAACATTTAATACTCAGTAAAGAACAAACAACTTGTATGCTTCTGTTAGTAAGTGAATTTCCATGTAACAACAGCTCTGTTTTTTTCTCTTGATTGTTTGTTTGTTTGTTTGTTTTTTAACCTCTCAAAGGAAAAGTGAGTTTTTAGAATCCAAGTGATAGGAAGAAATTCCTTTAGTTTATTCTTTCAATAACATGGGACAATTTTCATGTCCCAGATGTTGTGTTAAGTGCCAGGGGAATACACAGAGGCTGACAATAAACAAAGCATTGATGAAAAATGTCACAGGGATGAGAGTTGGTAGGGTATCTCTGGTGATTTCTGTTTGGAGCACAGGATGCCAAGAATGATAAAAAAAAAAAAAAAGGCAATCTGTGCAGAGAGTGCCTTGACTCCACTTTGGATAATTTTAAGGAAAAAAAATGGTTATGTGACTTTAATAAGGGGAAAATGGTAAGGGGACAGTGGAGGCAGGCAGGGGACAGATTGTACAGAACTTCACTATCTGTACTAATGCTTACGAAATTTATGCTAAATACACTAGAATGTAGAGGGGTAGTATGATATGGACTGAAATCACCAGGCTGCTTTATAGGTGGATCATGAAGCATAAAGAGACAAGAATGGAGCTAACCAGATGTGGATGGCAGGTCTGGACTGATTGTAGTCATGGGGATATAAATTTCAGGATTTGGGATGAATGGAGGCACTATCAGCAGATACAGACAGGACTAGAACATTGTAGACTGTGCAGTATTGGTGGCCCAGATGAGGAGCTCCATTTGGCCTGTGAACCATGCTCCTATTGTGATGGCAGAGTAAATGATTCCTACATTCAGTTTTAAAATAAACCACTTCTCAATATTGAAGATAGTAAGGAAAGTGGGAAAAACTGAAGGAAGTTGGTCTAATTTGATTGCCTCATTCATTCTTCCTTTGTACTATCCCTCTGGGACCTGAATTCCATTATCTGCCATGAGAATTCTGTCTTTTAATATGTAGGACTCAGCCCCAAGGTCTATTTGCTCTCCTGGGAAAGAAAAAACAAATCTTTCTTGGTTCACCCATATTTCACTAGTCTCCATCATGACACCAGGAAGTTTTTTGTGATTTCCTCCAGTTTTTCTTTCTGGGCCTCTAGAATATTGTTTCAATATCAGTGGATATTTTGGAATACATATCTCAAGAGAACAGAGGGATAGTGGTCAAATTAGTCTGTACAGTATGATGGTATAAAATAGTGAGAACTTGAGTCAAAGTGAAATTCATCATCTGGATCTACTAGTATTGGGTTAAACCATTGTATGTGTATACCTCGTTTTCATACCTGTAAACCCAGTGTCCTCCTCACACTAACATGTGGATCAGTTGTATCTTGAATATGTAATGTATGTGATAAATGTCATGCAATTTTTAGTATACACATACATTTAAATGGCAATTAGGGGGCTGGGAGAGGGTATAGCTCTACTCTGCACAAGGCTATATAGGTTTGACTCAAAGAAATGCCAAAATGATGATGACAACAATGGAAACAAATATGCTAATTTTTCTTCAGGAACGTCCTGTTAAAATTCAATCCACTGTTATAGTTATTGAATCGGATGATGATGACACTGATATACAGTACCGCAGGTAAGACATATCATGGCTGTAAGTAATTAAAATCAAAGCAATAGAAAGATCATCTAAGGATTTTAATGAATCTAAAATGACCAATTTGTTGGTATGAACCTATCTCATCATTTAATATAATTTATAGTTTTCCCATAGAATACTCATAATTGCCTTTTTACATTTTAAAATTTTTAATTATCTTAAAACTGCAGATTTTTCTTGCCTATCTGTGTGTCTGTCCATCTATCTATATCTATCTATCTATCTATCGTCTATCCTTATCATATATCATCTAACTCTTTGTGCATTTGTGTTTACCACCACTTCCAGCTTCCAGTTCTGTGTATTTTAATGTCTGTAAGTGGTTATGTAACCAGTGTCTATTGTGCTATTTTCTTGATTGGTCCAATAATAAGCCTATAAAAAATGACAGAAAAAAACATATAATATACATCTGAGGATGTGACCCCAACTCTTGGGATCCACATGGTGGAGAGGCCTGATTCCTGAAACTTTTCCTCAGTCCTTCACACAAGTGTCATTCATGAATGAACACATGCACGCGCACACACACACACACACACACACACACACACACACACACACACACACAAAATGAAGAAATAGTTTTTTTAAGCAATAGGAATATTGAAAAAAGACATGGTAGCATTTAAGATACAGAGTAAGAGAAACAGTAGCTCAGAGTTATCTTGGCTATCCTGGAACTCACTATGTAGACCAGACTGGCTCAAATTCACAGAGATCCACCTGCCTCTTTCACACAGCTGCTATGATTAAAGATGTGGGCCACTGTTTACCGCATGCAAGATAATTTAAAGGCAAAATGTTGCTTTAAGATTTTACGAAAACACTATGCTTACCCTTTAAGACAGTTTGCCTGGCTAAGTCATTTTAAGATGAAAGATTAACATCTGAAGTATTTGGGAGACCCAGAGGTACCAGGCTGTTTACTTCCTAAAAAATTCACAGTTGAGAACAGATGGATAAAAAGTAACAATATTCTGCAGCTAAGACACCAAGCTGAGAAAAAGTTGGGGAAGGCTTGAAGTTTTCAGTCTTCTATGATTGGTTTAAAATGAGAGATGGGAGGTGTCTGGGTCTAGTACAGTTGTCTGTTGGGCTTAAATGAGGGATGGGAGGAGTCTGGGTCTAGTACAGTTGTCTGTTGGGCTTGCAACCAGACGCCTCTGAAGCTGGTCAAGAAGTCAGCCAAGACAGACTTTTAAATTCCACTCATTTGTAAAGAGGCAATGGAGAATTCTACAGAGACTGAAAGTGGATTAGTGGTTGCCTCTGGCCAGGTGTTGTATGTGGATGGGGACAGAGGGGAATGATTGCTAGAACAGTATAGTTTTTTTTTTTCCTTAGATAAGAAAATGTTCTTAAATTCTCTAGGGGTTGGGGATTTATCTTAGGGCTTTGCCCAGCAACTGCAAAGTCCTGAGTTCAGTCACCAGCATATAAACAAATATGTAAATACAAAAAGGACTAAAACCCCCAAGGGAACTAAAATTACTCCAATAATTGTATGATCTGAATGTGCCCAAAATCGTTGAATTTAAGGCTTTAATTGAATTGTATGAAATGTAAATTTGATGTATAAAAAGCTCTGGGGCTGGGAATGTAGTTCAGTTGATAAAGCATAAACTTGGAGGAGTTGGTAGTACGTGCCTATAATATCAGACTCCAGAGGTGGAAGTAGGCAGATCAAGTTTTAAAAACACATTATGTGTGTGGTGCTTTGCCTGCATGTATGTCTGAGCACCACATGTATGCAGTGCCCATGGAGGCCAGAGTGGGGTGTGAGACACCAGGGAAGTGGAGTTACAGACAGTTGTGAGCTGCCACAAGGGTGCTGGGAAATGAACCCCAGGCCCTCTGAAAGAGCAGCCAGTATTCTTAACTGCTGAGTCATCTCCCCCACACCCAGATTACATATGTAAGGTATTCTATGGTAACATACTAAGTTTAAGGCTAGTCTGGGATACATTGATTTCCTGCCTCCAAAAGAAAATCAACATGGATGGATGTGTGTGTGTGTGTGTGTGTGTGTGTGTGTGTGTGTATGTGTGTGTGTGTGTGTGTGTGTTTGCTGTCTTAGAATTTTCTTTAAGTATTTAGATATTATAAATAATACATGACATTGTTTATGTTTAAATTATTTCACATTGGAAATCAAACCAGTAAGAGTAATTATTATCCAGGCGGTGGTGGAGCACACTTTTAATCCCAGCACTTGGGAGGCAGAAGCAGGTGGATCTCTGTGAGTTCAAAGCCAGCCTAGGCTATAGAGTGAGTTTCAGGACAGGCTCCAAAAGCTACACAGAGAAACCCTGTCTTGAAAAACCAAAAAAAAAGTAATTATTAAACATTTTATGTACAAATCAGATATTCAAGTGCATGCAATAACTCACTGACTGGCTTTTTTCCCCTATTTTAGCTCTTCTGAATGCACTCACAATTTCCAAGGTGTCATTTACCACATTTACTGTTAGGTTATTTTGTTTGTTTGTGTTTTTAAAGTCATATTTATTAAGATAATTCATCCTCTTATATTTTGGAGTGATGGAATTTTTCTGTTGTTTCGCCTCTCAAACTAAACTCTGTTTTTTGTGTCTGTGTGTTTTAGAATGTTAGGGATAACCAGGCTTATACACATATTAGCTAAATGTTCTTCCACTGAATCACACTTCTAATCCTAAGACACAGTATATTTTAAAGTTAAGCATACAAAGTAATGGGTATGCATTATGACATTTCCATACTTATCTATCATTATATAAAACAGATTTTTAATATAATATCCTTATTAATTCTTTGAGAACTTCACACGATATATTTAGATAATACTCACCCCCAGCTTCTCTTTGTAATTCTTCCTAGATCCATTCCCTCACATTCCACCCCTATGCCTCCCAACTTCTTGGCCTCTTTTTTTTTACATATTCCACTGAGTCTGATTTGTGCTGGCTACATACTCATGGATTTGGGGCCATCCACTTAAACTTGTTCAGCCTACCAATGGTCATAGTCTTAAGTCAAATTGATGCTTCCTTCCCCAGAAAACACCAACTGTCAACAGCTTCCCAAATTAGGAATAGAGACTTATGAGCCCCTCCCCACTCCATTCTGGAATGTTGACTAACCTGATCTTACATAGATTTCATGCCGGCCATACCACTGCCATGAGTTTATGAGTGCAGTGATCCTGTCATGGTCAAGATGACACTGTTTCATCCTTGATCTCCGGTCTTACAGTCTTCTTGCCCTATCTTCTGCAATAGTCCTTAAGCCTTGTGTGGCAGGGGATCATAGATTTACCATGTAGGACTAAACACTGCAGTAACACTTATTCTCTGCACTTTGACCAATTGTGAGTTTCTATGTTAACCACCAAATACTGCACAAAGAAACTTCTTTGATGAGTTCTGAGAGCTACACTTATCCATGGGCATAAAGATATTAATTTAGAGGGCAGTTTGATACCATGTTATTTAGCAAAATAATGGCAAGTTTATTCAACCTTGCGGCTGGTGAGCTTGTCAGCCTTGTGTCCTTTGTCAGATTTATGGTGCTAGTCATCTCTTCTTCCTCCTGTGGTGGGTCCTTCAATCTATTCAGAAATGGGTTGTTTGTCCCCTTATCATTCATGCCACTATTTCAAACATGTGCATATCTTGCCATGCCAATCATTATTGTTGATCACAATGTTCACAGCTGGTAAGACCATTGATGACTTTTCCCTCGTTCAGCCTAAATAACCCTTCCAGTACTTTGAAAGCTTGCCAGCAGAGAGGAAGCTTCCTGGTCAGTACACAAAACACATTTTGATAATGATTTCTTTATGATTTTATTAAGGCTTCTAAAACGACGCAAGAAGAAGGGAATTCAAAGAAAGTGCAAGGCTGAAAATTTGAATGCGGAATATCCTGAATCAGTCAATGAAGTATGTACATTGACAGTCACTAAGTAGAACCCTCTGTCTTTACCTTGTAATGCTATTATTTAGTTAATATGTGTTGTCAACATGTAAAAACTTTCATTTCAGTAACTGTCTTGTGAGCATGGCAGTGTCCTATAGTATGCTTTTTTCTTACTGTAAGTAATAGCCATGCTTAGAATAGTCTCTGTGATAACTTAGAAAAATATCAAGCTAAACTCGTTTTCAGACATCATTTAAAGTGGATTTTTTTTTGTAATTTGTAAGGAAAGTTTGAAAGTTGAGCATCTTGACTTATGGCTGTATTGTTAGAAATTGGGGTAATGAGGTAGGAGGATGGCTGCAAATTTCAGGCCAGCTTGTGCTACACATGAGTTCCAGGTGAACCTGGCCTGAAAAATGGGACCTAGTCACAAAAAACAAGTTTATCAAGGCATGAGGAGATATTTGGTGGGTAATAGAGCTTCCTGTGTGAGCATGAGCACCCAAATTCAAATCCCCAACACCCACATAAAATTCTAGGAGTACATGCTCACACTTGTAACCCTCACCTGTAGAGCAGTGGTCCTCAAACTTCCTAATGATGAGGGTAATAAAATTCCTCAAATTGTGGTTAACTACAACCATAAAATCATTTTCTTTGCTACTTCATAGCTGTAATTTTGCTACTGTTATTAATTGTAATGTAAAATTTTTGGAGATAGAGGTTTGCCAAAAGGGTCATGATCCACAGTTTGAGAACCACTGTTGGAGAGTGTGGAGACGAGCTAGGGCTTGCTGAGTGCCAGACCTAGCTCTAGGTTCAGTAACAAGTTTTGGCTCAAAGGAATTAGATAGTAATAGAGCAGGATACCCAGTGTCAATCAGAGGCATATGTACTTACACACACACCACACACACACACACACACATACACACACACACACACACACATGGTAAGGGAGTCTATTGATCTATTTGCTGCTCTGGGTTCTATAAGGAAACTTCAGACCATATTACACATCCCTTTATGGATAGTGCATGATCCCTAACTAGCTTTGCTTGTTCCTATCCTTTCCTTAAGTCATTTCTTCATTATCATTCATTATTCATTCTTCATTGTTTACTGGAGTAAATCCAATAGGCATAGACATTAATACAAATCTAAAACCTGGCCTTCCTCTTGGTGATCTGAAACTCAACTCTAATACAATATTACAATTTTAAGAAGGGAAGTATAGAAGAACAAGCATTTCCCACTGATGCTTAGTGAAGTTGTCCCTCCTTCCCTGCCACTGCATGTTGCATGTAGCCTAGGTGATATTATGCACAGATGGATGCCTTCTTCTGATCTCTGTGGGTAGTAGGCACATATATGGTGTACAGACCACAAACATGTGAAATTAAATAAATAAATGCATTTTTAAAAGAAGGGGCTTATATGTAAATATCATACTCCCAGCCTGAGGTTGTAGCCGAGTGTTAAGCACTGACCTAGCATACTGACACAAGCACAACAGAGTAAGAGCTTCTGCCTCTGAAGAAGTACTTATGCTGAACCTAGCATTTTGTTCAGAAAAAAGTATGAAACAGAGGGAATTAGATAGAAGACTAAGTAGAGATATAGAAGACAGAGAGGGGACAAAACTCAACTCGAACTTTAAACAAAATGACCCTGAGCAAGATGAATAGCAGTCTAATATCAGCTCAACAGATTATCGTTCTAAGTAATGAAAAGATTGCCATATTTCCAAAAATGCATTAATTACAAATAAGAGGACACTTAAAAAGTCAGGTTGTTGCCGGGCGGTGGTGGCACACGCCTTTAATCCCAGCACTCGGGAGGCAGAGGCAGGCGGATCTCTGTGAATTCGAGGCCAGCCTGGTCTCCAAAGTGAGTTCCAGGAAAGGCGCAAAGCTACACAGAGAAACCCTGTTTCGAAAAAGAAAAAAAAAAGTCAGGTTGTTCCTGTTTCCTGAAGTTGAAATGCTTCATATGATTCAAGAAACAAGTTTCTAAAAGAAAAAGTGCCATAGATATGTCTTGGTAGCTAACCCTACCCAACCAAATGAATTACCTCCGTGAAACCAAACTTAATGTTTAGGCAGGGATGAAGAGGATTTGACTGATGAACATATTTTATATGAAGAGTGGTTCATATGCTATTCAAAATGGATCAGGTTATTAAGGAAATAGAACTATACCACTCTTTAGGAATAAAATATGCAAAGTCCTAAATTATTAAGCAAGGTCTGGCATGAGATTTTTTTTTACTTTTTGAATATCATCAAAATGGTGACCATGAGAGTCTGAGAAGATAGCTTAGTCCATAGAGTGCTAGCCTTGCAAAGACAATGACTTACAATTATCCTGAGAACCCACCTCAGTATGGTGTACATAATGACATGATGATGTACACTTATAATCCCAGAGCTGAAGAGGCAAGAACAGGCAGATCTCTGGGGTTTGTTGTCCAGTCAGACTAGTTTGGATAGTGTGAGAGACTCGACACATGTGCTTGTCATGTAGCTTCCAAATGCAAGTTCACATGTGCACAAGCACCAGCACATACACATGTGTACACACACACACACACACACACACACACACACACACACACACACACATTATTTGTAGAAACAATTCTTTTAATTTTCAATTTAAGTACATTCTAAGCTGATGGTAGCCTGTTTTATATACCCTTACAATGCTGAACAATAGACTGCTCTGTTCACTCTTGCAATTCTGGGCTTCCACAGAAAGCAAAAACTCCCATTTGCCATATGGTCATGAGCCACCATGTGGTTGGTGGGAATCAAACCCAAGTCCTCTGGAAGAGCAGCCAGTGTGCTTGAACACTGAGAAATCTCTCCAGTCCCCACCAAATTGCATTTTAATCTTAGAGAATTTTCTATTTAAGGCTAATTTCTTGGTAACTAGCCTAATTCCAAGTTGAGCATACATAAGTGTTTTAAATTAGCATTTGACTAAAACACAAGCAGCCTAAGGGAAAATGACAGCAATGGATTCCTTTACTACAGCCAAAATACTCTTACTGATATCATCCCACTTAATCAACCTAAAATATTAATCATCTCTTACTTGGCTTTCACTTGCTTGAAGCATACTTTGCATGTGCAGGAACTCTGGGAAAACTCACTGGGGTCTACTATCCAAAAGATGTTGAAGCTTAGTAACTTAAAACAATATTTTAAAGGATATATATATATATATATATATATATATATATATTGGATTTGTGTTGGCTTTTCAAGTGATTAAAGTTACATCTAAAGTTTGGGTTCCTGCTTGTGTTTCCATTTATTTGCATCTTATTCTATCTGGTTAGTGAAATGTGTTACCTTCTTTTGGAAATTCAGGTTGAGTTTATAGATATTCAACTGGCCAGTGAACAAACACCATTTGAATTAGTTCAGATCAGGCCACCGTCTCAATCAAGTACATGCACAATAATAAGTGTAGATACAACCGTGAGCACGACCACAAGTATTTCATCCACAGAATTTGCAGCAGCAGCATTTTCACCCGGTAGGTACAACCAGCTATTTGGATGTGGACTAAATAAATGGAATGGCATTTGAGGTGGTTGCAAGGTTTAAAACAAAGATAGTGTGTGGTTTATAATGGTGTGAAATCACAGATGTCAAGTACAATATTGCTCATTTTCTGTGAATTTTTTCCGATGATGATTTCAGAGCAATAAAGTAAGAATCTTCTCATAGATTCAAGCAATCAGGACTCTTACACACTTTATAAATCCAAACAATAAATGTGCAGACTTTCCTCCTTTCTGCTGAATTAGTATTATTCAGCTGTTTTTTATTTTAATACTACAAACATTGTGATAGACCTGTCTTTGATGAAATAATGTTTTATCATTTGTGTCCGTGTAGTCTAGTCTATTGCAGCAACATGCTTTCATTGTTTTTTGTTGATGTTTTGAGACAGAGTCTTGATGTATAATTCACCCTGTCTTAGAAGTCATAGCAATTCTTTTACCTCTACTCCTGAGTGCTGGGATGACAGAAACACAAGCATGTGCTTTGCTAGGAATTTTTAATAGGAGTAGAGGCAAATAGGTTAATCCCTCAAAAATACTGTTGTTCCTTTTATGTGTTTCAATAAAGGGCTAATTACAAAATTGTACAAAAAAAACTGAAACACTTGAGAAAAGGATGGGTATCCATTTACCACGTTATTGTAGAGCTTTGTATTGTGGAATTTTCAGGTATTGTGGTTAATCTTTTTTAATTCTATTTTCTCAGTTCCAGATGTAGTTTTAATGTTTACATAGTTTTTAGTAATATCACTTCCATTATTTTTGTAAGTTTCATAACTCTATTTCAAACTATCCATTGAAAACAGCACAGGTATGTGTGTGTGTGTGTGTGTGTGTGTGTGTGAGAGAGAGAGAGAGAGAGAGAGAGAGAGAGAGAGAGAGAGAGAGAGAGAGAGAGAATTTCTTACATTTGCATGAGCAGTGATTGCTCATAACCTACATGTCTGGATTTACCTTGTAGGTTTGTTCTGAGGAATTATATTCATTACTGTTAAACCAACTGTGGACAAATCCTTATAAGCTTTTACAGCTGTCCTTTCCAGTCAAAAGAGCACATCAAGATATCTAGCAACAAATGTTGAAATTGAGAAACTTCTGGGTCTCATTCTATGGCTTACTGATATTTGAGTTTCTTCATTTGGTATCAGAAAATTGCAAATATACTGTTAAGGTTCAAAAATGATTTGGAAATGTTTGATAGTACAAGAGTTTAGTCAAAATTCTGAACACTGAAACTATCAAGAAACTAGAATTTTCCAAAATGACTAAAATGGAGAAACTGAAACTAATATATTGATGGAAGGGTAGTTTGCTTGTATTCATAGCATTGTGGTGAGATGTGCATCCTCAAGTTGCCCAGAGTAGTTTGGAGGTGTAATTTGGGTCACTCTGCCTGATTCTCATGTTTACATTTTGTAATTTTTTTCATTTTGTAATAATTTTGGACTTAGAGGGAAATTTCAATGCAGTACTCAGAAGGTAGAGGTACAAAGATGAGGCGTTCAAGGCCATTCTTGTATACACAATGAATTCAAGGCCATCCTGGAATTCATGAGATCCTGTAACAAAAAAATAATTTGAGTTGAAAGAACAGTACAGAGAAAAATGAACAAAGGAGAGAAATTTTAGCCATTTTATTTTGATCCCCCTAATGCCACACATTACATACGCAAAACACCACTGGGTTTCATCCCTATTCCTAATGTGAAGCCTTTTCCACCTGGCTTCTTTTACGAAGAAATGTACAGTTAGAAACTTTCCATGTCACAAGAGGAAACAATGATCTACTTCATTTTATTGGACTTTATGAATATACTACAGGATTTTAGTCTATCCATCAGCGGAAGGACATCTGGGTTGCTTTCAGGATTTTGCCGATTGTGAATAACGTTGTTACAAACATTTTCCCAAAAGTTTTGTGTGGAACTTTAAGTTTACTTGGGTAAATTCCTGACTGTGAGCCTACTAGGTCATATAGGAAGTATGTCAAGTAAATTTTCCAAATGATGTCAGAATTCTTCATTATTGTCTTTTCTCAGCTATTAAAGCAAAGGTGTATTGCAACATCTTACAGAGTTATATTTCAGCTTTGTTATTATAGGACACCAAATATTCTGAAGTAGAGCCTGCAGAATGTTGCCATGAAAGGTTACTAACAACTGGGCTGGATTTAAGCACCAGTGTGAACTGGGAGGTGGACAGAAATTCAGACATATTTTACTTGTCCTTTACTTTCAAATATGAATGGCTTTAAACTACTGTTATCCAAGTGATTCCTAGCACCTGGCATATCCCATTCTTAATCATAAAATTAATCCATACTGTCCTGTTGTATAAAGCTGGCATATTTTACCATTATATTCATGCTCTCTTTTGTGCTTCCTTCCTCAGCTTCTTCCCCTGAACAGGGCTCTACCATAGATCCAAAGTCCTCACTAGAGCCTATGGATATGGAATTTGAAGCAGGTCCAGAATTTCTTCAAAATGACATCCAGGATGAACAGGCCTCCCCAGAACAAGGAGAATGCAATGATGAGGATGTAAAGAAACCCTTGGAAGAGGCAACAAGCTCAAATCCTAAAAAGGAAGTTATTGAAGTTTTTGATTCTTCTTCAGATGAAGATTACTGTGTAATAGTAAAAGAAATTAACGTTAAGAAAGGCCCTAAAATCCAACAACCCATCGTGGACCAAGGACAAGAACATCAAAAGACAGTTGAGTCATCCCCAAAGTGTCCAAGCAGAGAAGTACAGTCTCCTCGCCCAAAGGCAGTGGTGAAACCTATGGTGCGTGGAGATTTGCCAGCCTGTGTTATAGCTGAGGTACATCTGAAAGTCTTTCAAAATTAATTTTTCTTTTTCGTGGACCTCTACCATCATTGAGATTAAATTCACTGTTTACTCAGGTTTGCCTTATAGAAAGCATGATCTCTATTTTTCAAAAACATATATAACTGTGATGTACTAGCTTTTCAGAAACACATGAGAAGAACCCTTGAATCTTTACAAACTGGGAGGTTGGATGTTCTTTGAGGCACACCCCCCCTGTTTCTCATACTGTTAAATATACAAGGATGTTAAATACTGGTGAGAAATTTTGAAGTAAGTGGGAAATTGAGCAGCTCTGAAAACACAGCATTTCTAAGGGTCCTGCTTTTCATCAGTTGTGAGGCAATGCTAACCATCTCAAGAAAAGACAGCTTTCTTGACAACTCATCCCACCCTTGCCCTCAGCACATACCACAACAAGCTATGCTGCTGCTTCTTCTTCTTCTTCTTCTTCTTCTTCTTCTTCTTCTTCTTCTTCTTCTTCTTCTTCTTCTTCTTCTTCTCCCTCCTCCTCCTCCTTCTTCTTCCTCTTCCTCCTCTTCCTCCTCCTCCTCCTCCTTCTTCTTCTTCTTCTTATTCTTTTATTCTTATTCTCATTCTTATTCTTATTTTTGTTTTGGATTAATACACAATTAAACTCTTAGTTCAGGTATGTTCATAAATTCCTAAAATAATTGGTGATGGTTCTGCAATCTGGCTGTGTACAGAAGCTGAGGAGAGCCCAGCCAGCTCTTAGCAGGGGCCAGTGCAGCTTCTAAATGTTTGGGCTTGGGTGAACAATCCTTCTTCATGTTCACTGTGTTCTGTGCACTAAGGAAAAGCATGAAGTAACAACAAGACCTTTGTAATTTTTTGTCCTTCCAATTACAGCCAAGAAGACCACATCAGCAGGGTCCACTTTTGGGGGAAAGTGTTGACCAACGCTGTGGCCCAAGAGTGATGAGAACACAGGTCTATGATTTGACTATAAGTAGATCCTTCTCTGAGGAACCACCTTCTTACCAAGAAATTGAAGAAGAGGTATGGAAAGTTCATTTTTATTTTTATAACTGAAAGGTGATTCCATTGCATAAGAAGTTTGATTGGCTTGGTTTACTTGGCTCAGCCTACCCCATAGGCTGCAATTGAGTTGCCCCAAAGAATTAAAAATATCTGTGCTAACTGGACCTGTATACAGGCTCAATGACAAACATATGCTTGTGCAGGTGTTATGAATTCTCAAAAGTCTGTAACTCAGTGGCATGTGTGTGTGTAGACCAACAAAGGTTTCCTAGTGAGATCTGAGCTTGCTTTACTAGGCAGGGATGCATAGCAGAATGATTGGACCACAGGCATGTGGTGTTACCAGGTGTTTGCAAGGGTCTGCACTTGGCTGTGTGGTATGCTTTGATCTAGCAAGGTGAAGGTCTTTTGCCCCACCCCTTGGCATTGTTATTGAAAGGCCTTTGAAGTGACAGAAGGGGTTGGTGGATTTTGATCCAGGTTCTCTTGAAACTATCATGTGTATTTGTCTGTCTCTTCCCCACTATCAATCTAAAAGATTTTTATTCCTCTCTCTCCCTCATAGAACCATTTAGAAAGTTGGAGTTGGCCTCCCACACATGTCTGTGACTAGTGTGTTTCCAAAGCAGCCAGTAGTTCCCATACCCCAGTACGCAGAGATCAGACATTCATTATTTTCGGATTCATTTGAAGGTTGTTCATTTCTAGCAGGGGTGCTTTTTCAGATATCAAAGTACTTTTATATTTGTTTCTGATGCATCAATACCTGTAGGAAAGGGAACGACAACAATATGAATATGCCTTGGCTCAACGTATTGAGATGCTTCGCAATTTACCATGTGAATGGCCGATGGCACAGCAACAGATGGGGCAAAGACGAGAAATTCAGGTATGCCAGCCATAAGATCAGGTACAGGAGTAGTCAGAGCCTAAGATGTTGATAAGATGATGAGTGGCATACTGTATTGTTTTACAATAACTGTTGGTTTTGTGCAGGTGATAAACCTTACTAATGACCTGGAACAACTTCCCATTAATTCCTTTGGGAATGATAACTCTGCATATTCACGAAATGAGACACAGAGGTAAGAGACAGACAGATTGGGGGAAAGGGGGGAGGCCATTTCTTTTCCCCTGTTCCTGACTATATAGTGCCTATCTCAGGATCTGTTGATGAAATGGAGGGTGTTCCACACAGAAAAGCTAGATAAGACAGCCTAAAAGCTAGAGATTTCACATACAAACCTTGAAATCATTTGGGCTTCATTGCTCAAGTCCAGCCTCTCAGCACAGGGTGTTTGCACAGAAGTCTTTAGTGACCACAGCTGAGTAACTTCAGAATTTCATGTCCATTTTTCAGCTTCTTTGGAATGAAGGCATTGACCATGAAAACCATGGAAGTAGATGTAAGATGTTTGTTACATTCTGTGAACAGGCAACAGCATATAAAGGCTGAACATGGATCATGTAGTATGATGGCATGCATACATTCTAGCCCAATAATAATGTCTCTCACTTCAAATACCAGAGAGAAAAGGCTCCTCCTAGCATGTATTTAACATCGAATAAGTGCTTTTAAATGAATGCTTTCTTACTGAAGCAGAGTCTCAAAAAGCTATGGGTATTTCCATCTGCCCTTACACTTAGTGAAGTGGGTCAGTGTCATGTTATGTAATGTTTCTCATCATCAGAGCCTACCTTAAGAAAGATTAAAATAAAGATTAATGGTCTTTGGTAAGGCTTTGCAATCCATATATTCTCTGAATTGCCCAAGCTTTTGGTTGTGAAAGAGCCCTGGATTTGATGTTAGGAAATATGCCTTGCAGGTAGGTATTACTCAGCCACCAGATCCCTGAGGTAGTTATTTTTAGCCAGATGGAATGGCATACATAAGGCCACAGAGAGCACAGTCATGGTGAAACTGTTTATGTGACACAAAAGAAACCAGGTGAGTCAAGTTGACTTGACTGTAATTTATCTCAGCATCTGTGTTCCCTTTACATTGGCAAGTTCTTATACTGAAAACAAATGTGCACCAAGCAACACTCAAGACCAGGAGAATTCTTCATGGTACATCATTCTTTGACCTATGTAACTGATCCAAATTTCTTCTTTTTCAGATTTTATGATGATAATGCCGATCATACTCCTCCCCTGCTGCATTGCCCATTGGCAAGGTCACGTCAAACAACACCAGTGCCACATGAACCAGCAGCAGAGACATATCAACCTCTTGCAGCAACTGATCACCCATCAGCAGCAGTGTCAAATCCTTCATCTGTAAATTCACAACACCCATTAGCAATGTCACAGGTAAGTGATCCCATATCATCTGAAAGTCTTGATTCAAACACACGTGGACAGGGGATCTCAGAAAATTTCATGTAGCTATGGATGAAATAATAATTTTCACAATGTTATGAGCCACATTACAGAACATCATAATTTACTAAGGGTCAACAACCCTTGGCTTTACAGACAAAGAAAATGGACATGATAGAGATATCCTATAGCTTTTAACTTTTGGAGCAAGAGGGCTTCTGTGCCTCTTTTTCATAAGGAGGATACCTCAGGAATATGCACTGTGTTTGAAATACAGACTAGAAAGCATTATCAGTTTGAAGAAAATTATACATGTGGTGGTAGAACTCACTGCTGAGTAAAATCATTGTCTACTTGGATCCTTATATAACTAAGATCCAAATATGATTCTTAAATACAACCTAACTTTCAGTCTTCCACAGCATAGATTACCTAATAAAAGTGAGACACAAATCATTTTTAATGCCAAACTCATTGCTGAGTCCAGATTGCTTTCTGGACTTACAGATCTTATAATCCTCCAATGCAGTCTAGGTCCTACCTTGGGGGTGTCTCATTATATTGAGAAAATTCATAAAGTTCACTTGGCTGATTGTGCTTTAACATCAGGCATCTATGAGGTGCCTTATGTTAGACAGGTCAGACACACTTGGGGGCCATCTGTTGGGGCTGGGATTGCAGTATAAATGCTGGTCCAGATGACAATAACACAGAAGAATTAGCTCCTCATTTAAAGTCCCAGCTAGCCCTATGAGAAGCAGAAATATAAAATCTGACAAATTAAAAATCCATATAAAAATGTTTTCATCTGACAACACAATATACCATAAACAAAAATAGTAATCAAAAGAATGATTATATACTCTAAATGTTTAGAAATTCCAAGCCGCTTAATGTGTGATATTTTCAAACACATGCCATGACCAACTGAACCATCAGTGTCATTAGAAATTCGGTCCTGATGAGGGACTGCCTATATAGAGATCAAAATGAGCAAATGATCTGATGGGGCTTTTAGCAAAGTAGACTTCAATAGTACCTCATTTCTTGCCTTTTACCAAGACAATGACACCCTTGAATGGGGCCCTAATAGTGAGAGTTGTCACCAAGTTGATCTGATAGTGCAGGCCAGTGAGGGTAGGGATTCAGATAGCTCATTTTAAGAGAAGTAGAGTAGGAGCATTAAGGGCTTCACCGTGAGGCCACCCTCTGAATCAGCTCTCTGCCTTCTGGTCATTCCTGCTCTGACTGCCGTAGTCTTCAGCTGTCTGCCCAGATTGGAGCCCAGTACCTACTCCATTTTTTTCTTACTCACCTCATTATGTTCCACTTACTTGGTCCTATTTTCATTTCAAAATAGAGTCAATAAAGAGTCCTACAACAGAAATCTTGATAACACTGCCTTTGTGCTTGTCCTCCTCCACTCCCTGGTGGGAGCTGTCATCTCTCCTTCCACTCTGGAAATGTAGAAATGCAAGTCCAAGCCTAAAGGTAGACTTTGGCTAGGCCTGGTTGCACAAAAGTTGAGGAACAGACACACATGCTTTAGCTTAAAAGGCAATTTTGAGATCTCAGGACTGCCACTAAGCCAAGAAGAAGCTGGAAGAAGAAATGGGACAGTCCTCATGTCTTTCCCAGTTCTCTCTCTCTCCTACTATCACCCTGTAAGCCCCTACTGCAAAGGAATTTGTCAATTGCTCTCTAGCTTGAAATAAAAGGATCCTTCCATAGCCACAAAATGGGCCAAAGAAGTATAGCAAAATATTTCACTCTATCACCCCCCCCCCTCTTTTTTTCAGCTTGCCTCTTCTAACCGCCAAAGAGAGAATGGGACACGTTTGATTCCACCTGGTCAAGAAAATTCAGGTTGTTTTCAGGCTGAAGAGAATATTGATCCTCATCCATGAGGGGAAGATGAGGCAGAAGACAGACCACCATGGTCTGTGTGGGAAAGGGACATACAAAATGGGCAGAGTCCCTTTATGGGAGAGGGAGGGTGGGTTATTTTTTTCTCTTTTCAAAAATTGAGTTTCTGATGATTTTTAAAGCATAACCAGTTTATTGGAAATGATGCTACAGAAGGAATCTGTCACATCCGACTTTGGGTGTGATAGCAAGTATTCACTGGCCCCTACTTGCCGCAAGCAATTTCATGAGGCAAGCTGACTTCAATGGACATATGTTCAGGGGACTTTTTTTGCAACAATAAAAAATGCCACATAAGTTTGAAATATGGAAAAAGCCACTCCACCATGTCCTTTCCCCAAATTCTGGGGTCTTAATCTTGATTTATTCCCACATCCCTTCTGTAGCCCTATAACCCTGTTACATTGGGTAACATATGTGAAATAGATTTCCAATTGTGAGAAATTAATATCTGCTCAAAATAAGGTACATCTTTGCTTAATAAACACTGTGCTTTACTGTAAGTCTTGTGTCTGTGTGGTTGACATTGAGATCATAGGAGTATTACTGACTTGGTGGACCCCTGCATATGTCCTGATGAAGAACCCATGTTCTAGAGCTAAACATCTCACACAGTGCCTGTTCCTAGCATATCATCCTATTTGTCAAACTTATAGATATCAGTGGTGGCTGCTACCCTCCTGTGTGGCAATGAATATAGGCTCCTGCTCTGTGCGCAGCCTTTTTGTTTGGTTTGTTAGCATTTGTGTGTCTGTGTGTTGTCTCTATCTAAGTTTTTAAGACAGAGTCTACCACTGAACCTAGAGCCCACAATTAGACTAGACTGGCTGGGCAGTGTGCTCCAGGGATCATCTCCCCAGCAATACAGCCTAAAAGGTGATATTGCTCATTGTTCTAGCACCAAGAAGAACATATCCCCTATTGCCCACACAGTGGTCGAAGTAGGAGGGGTTTTTATTGGTGAAATTATTAAGCCACTCCTTTTAGTTAAAAGGGAGGTTTATTTTGTGGGATAATTTACAAGTGAAGGGATTGGTTACAGGGTCTAGGAAAGGTGTAGCACTTTCCGGAGGTGTTTTCTGGAGAACACTGCTTGATCTACTCCTGCATTCAGGGTCCAGGAACCAAGAGAGCTCGCCCATCTGGATCTCGGGTCTTCAGGGTCCTCTCTTGGCCTTTTAGGATTGACAGTTTCCCTAGCTTCAATGGGGGTTGGAACTTCCAGATAAAAGCTGAAATGGCTACCCACTACAGGTTGGGGCATGGATAGTCCTGCCAGAAATTATCCCATGTTTTTTGTAAAGCAATGAACTATAATCATAAGAAAGCAAAGGAAACAGCCAAGAGTGTTATGACATATCTCGGGCCATATGATTTATACTAGGGTGTAATAAAAGGAATGTTTGTATGCTCCTAAATTCATCAGAAGCCATAACCTCCAATGTGATGGATATGGAGATGAGGTCTTTCAGAGGTGAATAAGGTCCTGAGGCAGCAGGAGGATGGTAGTAGCATGTGGGCTTTTGATAGGTACTCAACTGCCCTGGTGCCAGCGTGACTTTAAAGTTTACTCAGTGGCTTTCTGGACAGCCATAGTTCTTACAATCATAGGTAAAGCTCTGCATTTGGAAAGTCATTTTAGTTTTTGGTCTTCAGATGGAGAATAGAATGTTGGAGAACAGAGCACTTTCCTCACAGAGCAAAGGACTGCTGGATGAAGCTGTAAGATTGAACAAATCTTAGAGGGAGGCATGGGAATTCCAGGAGCCTGGAGGACACCTGTGTGGGAGACTGCTTGACATTACTTTTTAAAACGTCACTGTTCTTGATGGCAACCTCCTTTAGCAGCCCTGGAATGGCTGAGCACAGTGGCCCTCACATTGTTAGGAAACTGAGTAATGTTGACATGGCAGAGTTTCCTGGTTTGTCTGTTTTCCTCACTTCATATGCTCAGCCCATACCAGTTGGGGGGAAGTAGAATCACAGAAAAGTTCTCAAGAGTTTCTAAGCACAGAGTTCCACAGCTGGAGCTGACCTAATATGGTGATCAAGGAGCCCCACTGCCCCACCACTGACACACACCACAGGAATGGCTGTCAGAGCCTGTACATTGGAGTGACTGAATAGGAAACACCAGACCTCAGACTTCCCACACACTACAAAACACAGTAGTCAGTAGCCTGAGTTTCAAAGCAGGCATATATGATCCCTTCTCAGGGGCTTCTCTGCTCCTAGCAATGAAATCAATAAGGTCGCCCCAAGATGAAACACCTTACTAGAACCCTATGAGACCTGGGATGCTAGAGTCATTTTGAGTTTTTTTATATTCTCAGCATGAGACCAAGTTCAATTCACTTATCTGGGAAGGCTCTGGAGTTGAATGTCTGCGTGGCTTGTGGAGGTAAAGAGTAAACACACCAGAGTTTCTAGACAGTCACTCTAACCACACACCTGCTTATTCCCATGTAGACATGAGAAGGCTTGACCTGTATGCAATGCAACATTCCATTCACAGGTTTATAGCTGCATATTCAAACATTTATAAACATTCCTATTCCCAAATGCATTTTACAATAAAGAAAGAAGAGTGTTATTCAAACTATCAGCCTCAGTCCATATCCTTCCTCAACATTTCACACAATACCACACAGCACCAGGTAATACCCAGGAGTATATATTGAGCAATTTATTAAAGTGTGTCTTGACAACAAAAGGGAAAGTATCCTTGGAACATCCTAGCATGAGTACTGTTCATCCTGATTTAGCTGTGCACTTATTCTACAGTAATCACCATCCCAACTGCTGTGATTTTAAGACATCTGAAGACTTCCACCTGAGGCCCTGGTGCACTCCAAGGGAATTCTTCACTCCCTTTACCTTATGGGATTCTAATACTATCTGATCAATGCCTGTGCTGAGTGTTTGTGCATCCTACTAAAAATCGTCACCTCAGGCTCTTTGGCATATGAGTTATGGGTAAATGAAGCAAGAGCCTGCTAGCTTGTTTGAGGTTTCATTGGTGTGGTCAGAAGTCACACCTTGCCATGAACTAGGATGGTGTCTTCTACCCCAATTACACAGCACCACTGAGTGGCCCCTAGACTTTAAACCTTAAACTACATTCACCAATGTTAACAGAGGGATACTAGGAGAGGGGCAGTTGGTTTTCCTGGGATTCAGCTTCTCATAGACTGTCCATGTTCCAGTGAATGGTCCTACACCCATGCACATACTGGCTGCAATAAAGAGACTCTGGGTATTTAAATGGGTACATTAAATTGGTGGGGACTGGTGGTAGGAAGGGAAATGTGAGGAGTCAGAGGGGAGGAATTAGGGCATTATGATCAAGCAGACCCAGGTAGGCCCGCGGTGGCGGCCCGCAGAAGTAGACGGGCCAGCAATGGCGGCCGACAGGGACATTCAGGCTCAGCGGCAGCCAGCAGAGACATACAGGTCCCCGGGGTGGCAGCCAGCAGAGATGTACAGGCCCAGCGGCGGTCTGCAGAGGTAGACAGGCCTGGTGGTGGAGACAAGCAGAGGCAGGTAGGCCCATGGCGGTGATCCGCAGAGGTAGACAGGCCCGGCGACGGTGGCCTACAGGGATATACAGGCCCGGCACCAGCCCGCAGAGGTAGACATGCCCAGCGACAGAGACAAGCAGATGCAGCTTGGAACAGGGACGCCTATAACCCCAACACCCGGGGAGGAAGCTATCTCTGTGGGATGGAACCAGAACGAATCTGAACACTCCGTCTGAGGACAACCAGGGCCCAGGTGCTGATCCTGCAAAACCCAACAACTTGGAGGTGTTGATGAGACTACCCCGCTCAGCTGAAATCCATCTGAGAGAGGATTCAGATGCCTACAGTTTGAAGTCTGAAGAAACAAGATTAGCTGAGGAATGAACAAAATGTGACCTGGGAACACAGAAGAAGGCGCTGCTCAGTCACCAAACCAGATCACCAGAATCATAAGTATATACTTCACCGACTGAGATCAGCTGCCCCTGAAGAAACAGACCAATAGCACCAATTTAACCAAGAATTCCTACTGAACCAAGACTAAAAATTAGAACAAGAGAGGCACCCTCAGACACAGACACCACGTGCACTGAGCAGAGGAAGAGATGAGTAGACACCAGTGCAAAAATGCAGGCAACAACATAAAGACCTATATGGCAACATCAGAATGTAGTGATTCTACACCTGCAAGACCTGAACATACCAAGAGAGAAGAAACAGAAGAAATCAACCTTAAAAATGACTTTAAGAAGATGATAGAGACCCTTAAAGAAGAAATAAAACATTCCCTCAAAGAGGAAACAAAAACTTCCCTTAAAGAAGAAATGAAAAACTCCCTTAAAGAGGAAATAAAAACCTCCCTTGAAGAGGAAATGAAAAACTTCATTAAACAGGAAATAAAAACTTCCCTAAAAGAGGAAATGAAAAACTTCATTAAAGAGGAAATACAAATCTCCCTTAAAGAAATGGAAGAAAAAAATGAACAAAAAATGGGAAGAAATCAAAGAAAGCCAAGAAAAAGCAATTAAACAGATGAAAGAAACATTCCAAGATCTGAAAAATAATTTGAGACAATAAAGAAAACACATACCAAGGGA